TTCTTGTAGTGAGGGGCCCAAAACTGAACACAGTATTCGAGGTGCGGCCTCACCAGTGCCGAGTACAGGGGCACGATCACTTCCCTACTCCTGCTGGCCACACTATTTCTGATACAGGCCAGGATGCCATTGGCCTTCTTGGCCGCCTGGGCACACTGCCGGCTCATGTTCAGCCGGCTGTCGACCAACACCCCCAGGTCCTTCTCTGCTGGGCAGCTTTCCAGCCACTCTTCCCCAAGCCTGTAGCGCTGCATGGGGTTGTTGTGGCCAAAGTGCAGGACCCGGCACTTGTCCTTGTTGAACCTCATACAGTTGGCCTGGGCCCATCGATCCAGCCTGTCCAGGTCCCTCTGCAGAGCCTTCCTACCCTCGAGCAGATCAACACTCCCGCCCAGCTTGGTGTCATCTGCAAACTTACTGAGGGTGCACTCAATCCCCTCATCCAGATCATCAATAAAGATATTAAACAAGACCGGCCCCAGTACTGAGCCCTGGGGAACACCGCTCGTGACCGGCCGCCAACTGGATTGAACTCCATTCACCACATTATCACGAATAATATCTTGTCCTTTCGGTTAATAATTGCTTTTGAAGTGGCTCTGGCCTTAAATCAGGGTAACTTTGTTCTGTGTTACTCAGCGACAGACAGGTTTTGCTTGCATATAAATTGATAAATTTTTGTATGAAAGACACAAAGAAACTGTATTGCACAGATGTAGTGTGTATATATGCACACATACATGCACACAATACTTTCACATCACGAGCCGGTGGTTTTGGGGCTGCAGCAGCAGGACTCGCCGTGCCTCTTGGAGTCTCCAGGCAGCAGCAGCCATTTCCCCACCATGGTGGTCCGAGGCCTGCCCATCCGCTGGGGACTGTGATGGTAGGAGGGGGCTGCTGCGAGAGGCCACTGCTCAGCGTGAGGGGCTGGCAAAGAAGAGGCGAGTGAGGAAGAGGCTGCCCGCTGCCGCCTCTCCCAGAGGGCCTCGAGGTGGAGGAGACGCAGCGACATGGTGGCTGCCAGGCATCAGGGTGGAGGCCGAGGTGGTTGTTCTCAGGTGGAGGTGGTACTTGAAGAAGTGGCAGAAAACCGCCCGTGAAGCTGGAAGCCCTGAGGCAGGAGGTGGGTGTGAGGCAGGGAAGGGTGGTGGTGGGACAGGCAGTGCTGTACAGTGCCTGTGGAGAAGAACGGGAAGGAGCACTGCTGCTGCGGCAGCCATTGAGGTGGCTGAGGGCTGTGGCGGGCTCCCGGGGCTGGCTGGGGGCAGGGTTCCCCGGAAAGGGGTGAGGGCCTGGGTGGTGGGGGCTGGTGGGCCCTGCAGGCTGGCCGGGGTGCGACAGGAAAGCGTTTCCCCCAGGGGAGGCCCGAGATGGCGGCCACAGTCCCTCATGGGAAGGCTGACATGGCCCTGCTGCCACGTCAGGATCGGCTGTGCTCCTGCGTGCAGGACTCAGGCATGCGTGGGGTTCGTCTGTAGCTTTTTATTAGCAAAGCAAAAAAGTCTGTGAAATTCAAACCTTTTGCCATCCCTCCAGCTTAAGCGGTTCTACGGGTAATTATCTTAAGAACAATTACACAAGATGTTACCTCAGGCAAATCATATAAAATTAAAAGAAAGAGTACAGTGCCATATTGTCAAATTTCACATTGGTAGGAAGTTTTAAAATCTGCAGCCTTCTGGAATTCCTGTGGTTCAGTGTTTGTTCACAATACACACCAGGGGAAAACGTACAGTAATCCCATGCAGAAATAAATGTGACTGAATCCTGTTTGCTTTCAAATAATTGCATTTATTTACATCAGTTTAACCTCCATTTAAAATGTCATGTGTATCTCAAGTAGATTAATGCATGTAAAAAAACAAGTCTCTGTGGAAAGTGTTTCGAGTAAGCAATTTGTTTTGCTTGTAATTAATGGATTCTTACCTAAAGTACAAGTTATAAATAAAAATAAACTAACGGTGAGTGGTAGTTTGCTGCTGTCATTCAAATAGTGGGCAGTTGGGTAATTACAGACCATCAAAGAACTGCTGCACTGCTGATTATTATCTTTTAAGAATTTACCAGCCTTTCATCGTTCGAAAGAAACTTGCACGGAAGACTTTAAATATATGCTATTAATAAAATAAACCTATTCAGTGGTGTGATGGTTGGTAGTTACAGCTCACACAGGAGAACAAGTCACCTTGCCTTTGTTGCTTTGTCTGATACAGAATGCCACATTGTGAAATCAGTAGCCAAATCTCATTTAGCCACATATATCTGCATCTATACCGAGGGCTTCATTCTGCAAACGTGTAAGCAGCTTGACTAAGATGAGAAGCTTTGGAGCAGAGTTGGACTATTCCTCTGGAGAAAGTTACTTGAGCATTTGTAAGGCCAGATCCTGAAAATGTCAGAAAATCCATGCGCACAAACCTTGTATGCAAACCTTTGAACTGAAAAGAACAAGTACCAGTGAGGAAGATGTTGGCAATAGTTGCATCTGCTCTGAACTAGAAATGTGTATAATTTCTAACACATTTTTGTATGTATATTTATTCCATGTGTTGTTAAGATATGTTCTTTAAAAATCCTTACGAATAATATCTTGATATGTATTTATAGAATTTAATTTTCAAAACTAAAAAAGTCACTAGCCACAGAAGTATTTTCCCCAGTTGTGATTCTCCATTTATTTAATATCAAAATGAACAAAACATACATTTCCATGGTAAAAACTGGACTTAGGATGGAAATTATATTATATATATCCCTTTTCCTCAGAGAGGTAAACCCATATTTAATACATCCTAGGCTGTGATCTTTGTATTGACTAGAATTAACATTTGAACCATAATATTGGAAAATGTGTTTATGCACACAGTGGTGCTGGAGATAGTGAACTTTTTGTCTTGGGGGAGGAGTGAGTACATGCAGTGTAGAGCTGATTGTAATATGTTTCCATCAGAAGTACTGCAGAGCTCTTGGAGCTTGTCAGGACTTTGGATTCAACATTGCTGTGCTCATCTGCCTATAACCCCCGTGCAGATAGCAGACACATTGCCTCCAGTAAGGAGGCATCCACTACTATATATAGTTGATCTATATAGTTTGTCTACCCATTTATCTTGTGTTTATATCAGAATGAAAGAGTCAGTCCTGCATCTCTCATTCAGAATACTTACATGAGATTGGATTATTCATCTGAGTAAGATTTCCAGGATGGGGATCATAAACCTGTGTAAATAAAACACTGAAATTGTAAATAATACAAAACAAATGCTAAATATTGTACTCTTCAGTCGCTTTCATTGAGCCAAACTCTAATAATCATTAAGGCATGTAAAAAATACAGAGATATATGGTTTATATGAAAGGTCAGTTGCAGTCCACGTTTATTTTTAATTCACTGAATTGTTTTCAGCAGACATATCTGTATGTAGCATAATCTCTTGCCCATTTTCAGCAAAACATCCCTAAACTCATCATACATGAACACAGAGCTGGAGGAAGAGGAAATGAACAATTTCCCAATTTATGCAATTTAAGAGAAATATGGGGGTGTCTTTATGACCATTGGCTGTATGAAATACAAATTATCTGTACCTATCAAGCTGCAAAAGCCTGTTGAAGATGGCAGAAATGCTGCTTTTAAAGGGTTCTGTAGTCTTGTGAGACTAGTTTTGTTATAAATCTGCTTGTGTGTCATTGAACTGGATACTGTGATTTGTAAAAGACCATAAATATAATTTTTGTTGTTAATATCATCATTCATTTTGACATGTTTTAGCTTGATGGTTTTGGCATAATATTTTAACAAGCTTGAAAAAATCCTAAATTAAAAACAAACGAAAGAATTTCAGAAAATGAGCTATTTTAAGGTTACTTGACAGTTTAATTGAGAATTCACTGATTTGAACAGTACATTTGTTTTGATTATCTTAATTTTTTAAAAAAGATTGAAAATTTCCAGGTGCATTGACAGACTCATGCACAGCTGTTTTGGGGGGTTTTGGGTGTTTTTTGTTGTTTTTTTTTTATAAACTGCAAAGAAGAAAAAGGTTAAACCTCTGAGAATCTGGAAATACCAATTGCATGAATATGTAAGGAAAGCAATTGTTAAAATGCTCTGAGTGTTAGCAGAATTTTTAAAGCTAGTTAATATTGCAATGACAAGACTAGGAAGGGATATAAGACTAAAAAATATGCTGTACATGATCATATGTTTTTCATATTTTGTATTTACACGTAGGTAGTTACTTGTGGAAATTGAGTAAATGTACAATGTATTAACATTTAGTGTGATAAAACTGAAAAAGCTAATGATACCACAATTACTGCTTGGCTGTATGAAAACTGAAAACGGTGGAATGTGTTCTTTTGAAAAATACATAGTTGTAACATGTTGTAATGCAGGATGATCAGGAGTCTCTTCACTAGCAGTTGGGATACGTTGCAGTGTGTATTTATTAATACACCATTTTTTCTTAAACTAGAATTTCATATATGTGTAATCATTATTTGGAGGTAGTAAATAACTGCAATACAAACTTCAGGAAATCTAGAAAGGCTTTTATGTGATGAAAGAAAAGTGAGAAAGGAGAGTGGGTAAGGAATAATTTTAGTCCTTTCAGGCCTAGAGGCTTCTCGGGCAGGTGAAATGATGAGATTTTACATGTTGTCTGACTGCTCTTGGACTTATTATTAGGGCCCTACATCACGGCCTCAAGGAGAAGGAAGAGGACTTTGGTGTTGTCAGAATATGCTGCTGTGCACAGCCTGTATTTCCTTTTCCTGGGAGGATTTTGCTGTGTGAGTGGCAGCGTCCTGCGTAGCAGTAGAGATGTCTGAATGGAAGATCCCTTCCCCCAGGGGTGGCACATCTCGGTAAATGTCACTTGAGCCAGGGGCCAAGGTCTGCATTTTGACCAAAATGTATTAAACTTCGGAGACGTGACCTCTTCTGTTCCTATTTATTAAGTACTGCATGTGATTCTTTATTTAGGGGCAAGTTGTTCTCATTTTATTCACAGAAACAGCCCTCTTGAAGTGTGTGTGGAAAGGGAGAGAGATTTAGCTTGTGTGTGTCTCTGAAATAGTTTATAATATAGTCTAATAATAATAGTTAATAATAAAGTCCCTCTGAAGTCCCTCATGGCAGAACAGGATTGTGGCTCCTCATAACACCCTTGCGCTGTCTCACCTTCTGTGGACCAACTAAGCTTTATTAAATGTCCAAACAACAGTCTTTGTACACTGTATTCATACCTTTAGACATGTATCATGCTTTTGTTTTACCTTTGATTTCCTTGGCACATGATGCTATAGGGAACTAAGATAAAGTGTAGTCATCTGTCCAGTTTCCTTCCTATAGCCATATTGAATATTAAACTCTCAGGCCCCATAGTGTTCTGCAGGAGATTATCCAAGAAATGATAAATCCTCGGTAGGAGCCATCAAAGCATCATTGCCAGTTTGTAGCTGCTAAAAAGACCCTCACATCTCTTTCACTGTCACTGCATTATTGATTAGCTTGTGAAATACTGAAGCTGTATTGATTGCAAATATTTAGGGATGAAAAAGGAAACATTGTCGTCGAAGGTATTTGCAGTTCTCTCTTCTCTGTTAAAGAGATCTTTCTTCTCTTGTATTTCTCTGGCTGTCTTCTACCTATCATATGCTGCAAGCTGATGTGTTCATCCAAGGGTACTGGCAAGATGGGCAAATGGCTGCCTCACCCTGCCGTGGCTGGTGGTCACCAAAAAGCTGAAAGAGACCAATGAAGGAGAGTGCTTAAAGATTGCTTGATTGGTTTTGCACACACCTGCATTTGGGCAGAAATTACAGGAAGCAAAACTTGTTTCCTATTAGTTTATGTTTTAACTAATTTGTATTTAAAAATTATCTTAATGGTCCAGACGATCTAGGCCATGAGGTCTGAAACAGTCCTGCTGAAGACAGCACATAACTGGCTGATATTCTGGTCCTATTAGACAACATAGCTGCTGAAATCCCAGCGCATTCTGTCTC